TAGTGAAATAATATACCTTTAACATCAAAGTATTGTAAGACAGATTTTGGCATTAATCAGTTTGTGTCTGTCATGTGTTTGCCTGCAGAGTTCAATTCCCCTTCTATAATCTGAAATCAAAAGTATTTCAGAGAAAACTAAACTAAAACAGGTTTTCACGGTGGGGAGCAATGAACTGTAAAGTGTATCGATTCAGCCCCAGCTAAAATTACTCCTTAGAGTTTCCTAGATTTATTTACAAAGTTTGAAATCCTTTATGATTTGCAGAGCCCATTTCTAAAATCAATTGATTGCTCTGCCTTAAAAATTTTAGATTAACATTTCCAAAATCTGCTCTGTATTTAGGAAAGACTTCAGATCAAGTCTAGGCAGACTATTCTAAGGATGTGTTTGTGTACTGTATATATGTGTATAAATGTGTGTATGTATATATATATATACACCCTGTTCCAAATTATTATGCAAATTCTATTTAAGTGTCACAAAGATGAAATATTTTGTTGTTCAGTTTAACTTATGGGTGCCATTGTGTCTCAGGGCTCTTTTGATCACTGAAAACAATCTATCTCGGACACCTGTGATAATTTGATTGCCAGGTAAGCCCAATTTAAGGAAAAACTACTACTCCACATTATTATGCAGAGCACCATTTTCATGCAAAAAAAGGGGGGGGGAAAGCATCTCTCTGCTGCCGAAAAGAGTGAAATAGTTCAACGCCTTGGACGAGGTATGAAAACATTAGATATTTCACGAAAACTTAAGCGTGATCATCGCACTATTAAGAGATCTGTGGCTGATTCAGAGCACAGACGGGTTTGTGCAGATAAAGGCACATTGAGGAAGATTTCTGCCAGATCCATGCATCGGATCAAGAGAGCAGCTGCTAAAATTCCATTACATAGCAACAAACAGATATTTGAAGCTGCTGGTGCCTCTGGAGTTCCACGTACATCAAGGTGTAGAGTCCTCCAGAGTCTTGCAACTGTGCATAAACCTTCTATTCGGCCACCACTAACCAATGCTCACAAGCAGAAATGGCTGCATTGGGCAGAAAAATACATGGACTAATTTTCAAACAGTCCTGTTCACTGATGAGTGCCGTGCAACCCTGGATGGTCCAGATGGATGGAGTACTAGATGGTTGGTGGATGGCCACCTTGTTCCAACAAGGCTGCGACGTCAGCAAGGCGGTGGTGGAGTCATGTTTTGGTCCGGAATAATGGGAAGAGAGCTGGTCAGACCCTTTAGGGTCCCCGAAGGTGTAAAGATGACCTCTGCAAAGTATGTGGAGTTTCTGACTGACCACTTTCTTCCCTGGTACAGAAGGAAGAACTATACTTTCCATAATAAAATCATCTTCATGCATGACAATGCACCATCTCATGCTGCAAAGAATACCTCTGCATCAATGGCTGCTATGGGGATAAAAGGAGATAAAGTCATGGTGTCCTCCCTCCAGGCCCCCACCCCTGAGCGGTGGGTGGGGGCCCTAGATAGCAATTGGGGGGGACACCTATTTCCTCTCCCATGGCCCCCACCCCTGAGTGTCGGGTGGGGGCTCTAAATAAAAATGTATCCCCCCCCAGGTGACTAGGGGTCCCCAAACCCCCAAAAAGAAGACTTTAGAAGAACGAAAACATCAAATGGTAAGTTTACTTAGTTAAAGGTCCCCCCTCATTATTGGGGGAGGGGGGTAACTAGGGGTTTGGGGACCCCTAGTCACCTGGGGGGTTAAGTTTTTATTTAGGGCCCCCACCCGGCGCACAGCGGTGGGAGACAGAAGGAAGGACATTAGGTCCCCCCAATTTTTATTTAGGGCCCCCACCCACTGCTCACGGGTGGGGGCCAGAGGGCAGGACATTAGGTCCACCCCTTATTCTAATTTAGGGTCCCCTTCCGCCGCTCAGGGGTGGGTGCCAGGGGGGAGGACAATAGGACCCCCCTTATTCTAATTTGGGCCCCCACCTGCCGCTCAGGGGTGGGGGCCGGGGGGAGGACAATAGGTCCCCCCTATTGGTATTTAGAGCCCCCACCCACTGCTCAGGGGTGGGGGACAGGGGGGAGGACAATAGGTTCCAACCCCATTATTTTACTTTAGGGCCCCCACCTGCCGCTCTGGGGTGGGGGCCAGGGGGAGGACAATAGGTTCTCCCCCTAATTGGTATTTAGGGCCCCCACCCACCGCTCAGGGGTGGGGGAAGGGGGAGGACAATAGGTTCCCCCCCAATTGGTATTTAGGGCCCCCACCCACCACTCACGGGTGGGGGCCAGAGGGGAGGACATTAGGTGTCCCCCCCAATTTTTATTTAGGGCCCCACCCCCCACTCATGTGTTGGGGCCAGGGGGGAGGACATTAGGTCCCCCCCTTATTCTAATTTAGGGCCCCCACCCGCCGCTCAGGTGTGGGTGCCAGGGGAGGACAATAGGTCCCCCCCTAATTGGTATTTAGGGCCCCCACCCACCGCACAGGGGTGGGGACAGGGGGAAGGACATTAGGTCCCCCCAATTTTTATTTAGGGCCCCCACCCACCGCTCACGGGTGGGTGCCAGAGGGGAGGACATTAGGTCCCCCCCCCAATATTAATTTACGGCCCCCACCCACCGCTCATGGGTGGGGGCCAGGGGGGAGGACATTAGGTCCCCCCCTTATTCTAATTTAGGGCCCCCACCCGCCGCTCAGGGGTGGGGGCCAGGGGGGAGGACAAAAGGTCCCCCTCTTATTCTAATTTGGGCCCCCACCCGCCGCTCAGGGGTGGGGGCCGGGGGGAGGACAATAGTTTCCCCCCCCCCTTATTGGTATTTAGGACCCCCACCTGCCGCTCAGGGGTGGGGGCCAGGGGGGAGGACAATAGGTTCCCCCCCATTATTTTACTTTAGGGCTCCCACCCGCCGCTCGGGGGTGGGGGTCGGGGGGGAGGACAATAGGTCCCCCCCTTATTCAAATTTAGGGCCCCCACCCACCGCTCATGGGTGGGGGATGGGGGGAGGACAATAGGTCTCCCCCTTATTTTACTTTTGACCCCCACCTGCTGTTCAGGGGTGGGGGCTCAGGAGGGGGTGACCCTTTTTTTTTTTATTAACAGTGACCAGCCATAGGCTGCTCACTGTTTAATATACATGCCCCTACTCGCAGTAATCTTTACTTAGTATTAGTAAATTTGGCTGAAAGACCAATTCAGGTCTTTCAGCCTTTTAGTAGAAAGCTCTCTAATAACGTGGGAATCAGGGAGTTATCTACTTATTCATTCCGGTCATTACATTGACTGGCCAAGTAACTTACCTTTTATATGAATGTGTGTAACTTGATTGTTGTAAGTGTTGCAAATGCTTACAGCTGAATCCTGTCTATGTTTGTATACTTTTTATTTAAAATTGTGTACAGTGTAAAATTCTTCTTCTTCCACTGGGTAAGTATATTGGTACTTAGGCAATACATTTTACTTCCTTTTGCAGCCCTCTAGCACTTTCCAGGACTTTTTTTTAGATCCATTTTAGTGTCCAAAAGTTTGGGTCCCCATTGACTTCAATGGGATTCAGGGTCAAGTTCGAGTCCCGCACTCGAACTTTTTGCCGAAGTTCGGCCGAACCCGGCAAACCCGAATATCCAGGTGTCCGTTCAACTCTAGCTACAACCATTAATTTCAGAGGACGCCACACTCAAAGAAATATTTCATGAACCCCCATACTTAGAATTAGTCTGCAGCAAATTGACCACAGAACAGGAGCTCACACAGAATGGCCCTGTACGATGCAACAAATCACTCTGCAAACTGTGTCAACATATATGTGGAAATAACACAGCCAGACACAATAACAAAACAACATTAAGGGATCATTTTCGTGCACATCTGCGAATGTGGTGTACATGATACAGTGTACAGTGTGTGACAAAGGTTGCTACATTGGAGAAACTGGCCTTAAAGGACCACTCTAGGCACCCAGACCACTTCAGCTTAATGAAGTGGTCTGGGTGCCAGGTCCAGCTAGGGTTAACCCATTTTTTAATAATCCCTGGTGGAAATTAATGAATCCTCCACCACTGATTTAAAAAAAAAAAAAAACATTGTGTCGGGGTGGAGAAACTGCTATGTTTATGAATGGGTTAAGCCTTCCTCCAATTCCTCTAGTGGCTGTCTCATTGACAGCCACTAGAGGCGCTTGCGTGCTTCTCACTGTGATTTTCACAGTGAGAGCACGCCAGCGTCCATAGGAAAGCATTGTAAATGCTTTCCTATGCGACCGGCTGAATGCGCGCGCAGCTCTTGCCGCGCGTGCGCATTCAGCCGACAGGGCGGAACGAAGGAGGATCGGAGGAGGAGAGCTCTCCGCACAGCGCTGGAAAAAGGTAAGTTTAACCCCATTTCCCCTTTCCAGAGCCGGGCGGGAGGGGGTCCCTGAGGGTGGGGGCACCCTCAGGGCACTATAGTGCCAGGAAATCTAGTATGTTTTCCTGGCACTATAGTGGTCCTTTAAGCTGCATCTCAGAATGAATCTACATAGACACTCCTGATGGACCACAAGGAAAACTGATATTGTACTCCTGTTGGTCATCACTTCACCCAGACTGTTCACTCCATCCAAAACCTCAGGATTAAAGTTCTTAAAGGGAATTTCAAAGACTCTCGTGAACAAAATACATTTGAGATGAAAATGATCACACATTTCAACACCAGAAATTATGGACTTGATGTAGATTCTGGCTCTCACACACTACCAAAACTTTATATAAACACACATCTTAATGTCTTATACAGTTCTTTTTCAATATTCTCGCTTCACCTTTATTGCATCAATTTATATATATATATATACAGGGCCGCCATCAGGGGGTGACAACCGTGACAGTTGTCACGGGCCCGGCGGCCCTGGGGGGCCCGGACTGCTCTGGCAGTCCTGGGCCCCACTTTCCCTTTCTGCACACATAGATAGCGAATATCGCGATCTATGTGTGCAGCCGCGGGCCCCCTGCTCCCTGTTACCGCAGAGGGGGCCCAGCCAGGCAGCACACAGCTTCCCCTCTCTTCTCATAACTCTCGCGAGACCCGCGGAGCGTTGCCATGGTAACCGGGTCTCGCGAGAGTTATGAGAAGAGAGATGAAGCTGTGTGCTGCCTGGGCCCCCTCTGCGGTAACAGGGAGCCGGGGCCCCACCCCCACCAGACCACTAGGGATGGAATCTCCCCCCTCCATGGACACAGGTAAGCAGGGAGGGGGGAGAAACATTTAATTAAATTAATGTTAAAATGCCCCTTCCTCCCCCTCACCCCAGATCACACACTAACAACACACACTGCATACAATAACACACATACACTGCATACACTAACACACATACACTGCATACAATAACACACACATACACTGCATACAATAACACAACACATACACTGCATACAATAACACACACATACACTGCATACACTAACACACACATACACTGCATACACTAACACAACACACACACTGCATACACTAACACACACACACACTGCATACAATAACACACACATACACTGCATACACTAACAACACACACTGCATACAATAACACACATACACTGCATACACTAACACACATACACTGCATACAATAACACACACATACACTGCATACAATAACACAACACATACACTGCATACAATAACACACACATACACTGCATACACTAACACACACATACACTGCATACACTAACACAACACACACACTGCATACACTAACACACACACACACTGCATACAATAACACACACATACACTGCATACACTAACAACACACACTGCATACAATAACACACACATACACTGCATACACTAACACACACATACACTGCATACAATAACACACACATACACTGCATACACTAACACAACACACACACTGCATACAATAACACACAC